ATAAATACATTTCACAAGGCCACATTAAAAATGTGAGTCATTTTACATATCTCTGTCACTCTCTGTAATAGTGGCACACCTTTGGGAAAAAAAGTACATATGTACTATTCATTGTTCTTTCTTTTAAAATGGTACCTTGAATGGTTATATACAGATGTTTCCATATATTAAAAAAAATGTCCAAACTCTTAAAATTGTTCCAGACAGGGTGAGTGGAAACTTTGTAACTTGTCAAGAGCATTACTGGATTATTCACTCCTTAAATTCTGACCAATTTTGAAATTCAAATTTGCACTCTAATGAGCTGTGAAACTCATGAAATTTAGAGGTCAAGAAAAAGGCTCCTTTTTAAGTTAGCAAATGGTTTTCCACTTAGGGTCTAAGCGACTGCAGATATCTGTATACTTGATCCAGCTCTGAGACAAAACTTCCATTGATTACTTTTCAGAAGATGCTGATTTGAGCTGAAGATTTGCAGTGACAACTTTGTTTTTTTCCTCACATCTCCTAATCATTCACAGATCTTATGAACTTTCCCTTCTTGTATTATCAAAGGGAGAAAAAAAATCCAAGAGGAAAACAGTCTTGCAATTCATGATCAGGAGGAAAAAATAGTGAGGGAAAAGATCACACATTAATATAAAGGTGACGAGAAAATTTTGGAACACGTTTGTGTATGAAATGTTTTGGCCTCATTTATCAAGCTCGCGGTAATGGAGGACAAAATTCCTCCTGTAATTGCAAACAAACACAAAATCAATCCCTGTGTCTATATCTTGCTGAAGAAAGAACCTTTTAAAATGCCAGTGACCCACCATCATCCCTATTCATCATCTGGTTTTGAGTAATTTACTAAAGTAAACTGCTGCTTGCAAGGGAAAGGAGATATTGGGAGAGAAAACTTTGAGGTACCGTATTTTTCGGAGTATAAGAATCACCTTTCCCCCCCAAAAAGATGGTGAAAATCTGGGTGTGTCTTATACACTGAATATAGCATTTTTGGCCTCCTGAAACCCTGCCCCCTTTGCAAAAATGGCCGTGCATAGCCTTTAGGAGGCTTCCAGAGTGCTCCTGGGGGCTGGGGAGGGCAAGAATGAGCGAAAAATGGGCTGGTTTTTGCTCATTTCTGCCCCCCTCCAACTCCCAGGAGCACTCTACAAGCCTCCTAAAGGCTATGCATGCCCTTTTTTGACAACAAAAATGTTTTCATGAAAACGGGCCGTTTTGGGGAGGTCTGTAAGGCAAAAACTTTTTTTTTTTACAAAATTTGCCTCTTCAAAACCTTGGTGCATCTTATACTCCAGTGCGTCTTATACTCAGAAAAATATGGTAATTAGGAAGCAGAAATTACCTGCAGGTATAACGTTCCTTCCCCTTGCGAAGAAGGTTCTCAGGCAAGGTGTTGGGAGGGGCCCTGAAGTTGAACATGGAAGGAACAGACTGAATGAGGTCACCTGCGTCTGGTTTCAGGCTGCTGAAGCTTTCCAGCTTTTCGGCCATGTTTTCTATGGCGGACATCTGTAAAATGAGAAAGATAAGGTGAGTGCAAATTCTTAAGACATCCAGTATAATATAGGAAAGTTAAAGATTACAGGCAGTCCTTGACTTACAACCATTCACTTTGTGACCGTTTTAAGTTACAACAGCTCTGAAAAGAGTGACTCATGACTGGTCTTTGCACTTCAGACGTTCATGGCATCCTCACAGTCACATGAGGAAAATTCAAGCACTAGCTAACCAGCATTGCAGAGTCTCATAAGATCACCATTTTTGGTCTTCCTAGCTGACTTCCGACTAACAAAGTCAGAGGGAGGAATCTGGATTCATTTAATGACTGCATGATTCACTTCATCGACCCATGGTTAGAATGCAGTACTGCAGGCTAACTCACTGCTCAGTCTAGGAGTTTAATTTTAATGGCTCAAGGTTGACTCAGCCTTCCATCCTTCCGAGGTGGGTAAAATGAGGACCAAAATTGTTGGGGGCCATATGCAGACTCTATAAACCACTTAGAGTGGGCTGTAAAGCACTGTGAAGCGGTATATAAGTCTAAGTGCTCTTGTTCTTGCTCTTAACAACTGAAGTGATTTAACAATAGTGGCAAAAAAGATAATAAAATCAGGTGTGACTCCCTTAACAAACATCTTGTTTAGAAATGTGAACTGTGGTCCCAATTATGGTTATAAGTTGAGGACTACCTATATTCCAAAGGTTTCATTTTTTGGAATAGCATATCATATTACTTAGATCTCTTGAACATTTGCAACTGGGTTTTCTTGACAGGAGAAAGTTAAGATTTTAATGATGTCATCTTATATTTCTTTCATGCATGTTTCTTTTCAGGGAGTACTAGATCTGATCCAACTAAATGGCTCAGAATCACAAATGAGATGAATAAATGCAGTGCAACTGACTTCTTAGTAAAGTTGTACTGTATATCCCTAAAAAGAAAACTGCAGAGGAGACCCAGACTGACCAATAAGAAAGAAGAAGGAACCACCAAGTGCTACCAGATGTGGTCGTCCCTAATGGAATATTAAAAGGCACAATTATGCCCCACAGCATAATGTGATGAAAAAAACCTCACACTGCTGGAAACAATTCTACATAAAGTAGCATACCATTAACTTAAGAATTAATGCACATCATGATTCAACTTCACAGTTCATGTTATATAGCCATAACATTTTCTTTTGTATTTTTTTTAATCACAGCCATTCACCAAAACATTATCTAACTGCAGTGAGCTGTAAAATCACACCCCTTGCTCCAAAGGATTGTTGAATTGGCCTCAGAGAAGGCTTGTGTTCAGAAAACCATGGGTGGCAATGAGAAAATAAAGATGGCTGCTTGCAAATCTGATTTGCTTTTCCCTATACTGGATTCACAAAAGCTCCAATCTTACTTAGCATTGATAGAAGGTTACATGGAAAGGGGGTTGTCTGTCTTCTATGTACAAAATAAGATATAAAGCAATTTGGATAATTTGGATGGTGCTGCTTTTTTCCTCCAAAATAAACTCTGAGTTGCTTTGTTGAATGATTATTCATATTTGCTAGCACTAATATTTTCCCCCTCTTTTGCCGTAGCCTAACATCTCATTTCATGCTCAGATTTCCAACACCAAGTACAAATTGCATTGTACAGAGCACCATTGCCAATTTACCAAATGTCTTTCATCAAACATCATGCAAAAGGGAAAAAAAATTCTCAGAGGAAAGTCAAGATACATTTACTTGTCAGGAGACAAATGGGAAAGCAGAGGGAAGCAGTGAGGGCTCAAAGCTCTGGGGTTTGATTCATAATCACTCAGCTGCTAAAACATTATCCAAAGGTGGAAGTGGACAAGGCATTTGTCAATATGAAGGGTTTTGACGGGTACCGATCGTAGGGCCAATGATGATGGCAGGTTAGGATAGGAGGTGATGCCATCCTAATAGAGCATGCTCATTATTGGCCCAGAGTTGTGTATTATCACAGCATTTTTCACCCACTCCTATTTTCCCTTCCAGAATCAATTGGAGTTAAGTTTCCCATTGCATTTTAAACCTTTCTAATTGTTAGAGAGATAACAATTTGTACTTACAAACTGATCCTTGACTTACAACCATTTGTATAGTGATCATTTTAAGTTGCAACAACACTGAAAAGGTTACGTATGACCAATTTTGCAGTTATAACTGTTGCAGCATCCCCACAGTCACAAGATCAAAATTCAGGTGTTTAGAAACCAGCATGTATTTGTGATGGTTAAAACATTGGAGGTCATGTAATACCCATTTGTGACTTCCCAGTTTGCTTCCAAGCAAAATCAGTGGGTGAACTCAAATTCATTTATTGATTGTGTGATTCATTAAACAACTGTGGCAAGAACTGTGGCCACAAAATCAGCTTAGCAAGAAATTCTTATCTCAATTATGGTTGTAAGAGGAGGAATACCTGTATGTTTAGGCCTAGGCATATATTCTTTCTTCCTACAGATTCCAGTAACATTAGGTTAACTCATTCTCTTCCTGTAATGATTTAATCCATCAATTATTATAATGGATTTATGAAGTTATAAACTTGGTTCTGATCTATCCAATGGCATATATGCCATTTTTTGTTAACACAAACTACTACAGATTTAATTGTTTCTCTACTTCCATGGGTCAACAGAAAATTAACTTGCAGTGACTGCTCTGATCATCCCTTACTCGGCTTCTAATAGATATTAAATAGCCATTCTAACTCTCCCATTTTATGTTTCTTTATGAATTTCAATACTGATCTGTTGCATTATTTGAGATTCACAAAGCAATTTGTGTGTGGGGGGAGGGGGAAGCAAGCATGCAACTCAAAATAAAACAGCCCGCTCAGTTAAAATATTTAATATCTAACAAACAATCCGGCCAGTTATAGCAGCCATCCTAATAGCAGTCAGCAATCTGGACATAGAAATGCTGTTATAAAAAGTGGAGGCCTCCATTGGTGGTGGAAAAGAAAAAAATGAAGGTTTGTCTTGCTGCATTTTAGAAGGTAGTGTTAGTGGCACAATGGAGAGAGCTAACATATTCTTCCAACTTGTTATCTTTTACATCTACAGGAAGAATATGAAATAGATGTACTTTATAAATCTAAGAGGGAGATATCCATGGTAAGTGGCATTCTTCAAGGTTTATATGAAGTTTAAATATAGTGGTTTAAACATGGTAATTTTATGAAATTTTATTATATGGTTCTGAAATGTCTGATATGATGTCTGCAAGCAACAGAAAAAGAAATAATGGCAGTGAAACAAGAGACTAAGATAGAAACACACAACCTCAGGCTACCTGTTCAACATTTTGTCAACATGAATAAAACAAAGTAGCTTTCTNATCATTAATTTCTGAGAATTAAGAAACGGAACATTTTCATCTACATGCAATAATATCCAGATATTTTCTGGGTACTTCTTGGTCCCAGCTACCCCCATTCTGCTGCTGCCATGTTTGACTATCATCGAGATAAGTACGTACCTGTCAGGAGAGGATTTGCAATTTATTTCCAATGCATTTGCTTCTTCAAAATCACCCTCTGAGGGCTCTTCGCATATGTTGCTTGTTGCCAGTTCTTTAACTGACTTCCCTGTTATTTCACTTTCTTCATCTTCCTCATCCATCATTACTTCATCTTCTGCTTCTTCGTCTTCCAACAGGTCTGAATTCTGGCTTACTACTGGGGTCTTTTCATCCTTAAAGTGACTTCCGTTCATTCTTTCAAAAAGTAAGAATGAACAGTCAACACAAAATGAACAGTAGGGAGTATTTAGATATAAAGCCTTTGTTTTCTTCAATTCTTTTGCAGAAGTAATAAGTCTGCTATAATTAAAATCCACACTATTCAACCTCGTTCATGAAGGTGTCAGCATTTCTTTGAAATTTAATTCACCTCTGAACAGAATTCACAATTGTGAAATTAACACTGAGGAAAATTAGATTAGATTTAGATTCAATTTGATTGATAGAGGTTTTTTTTAGATTACTATGTTCTTCAAACAAGAATTTCTATCTTATTCAGCACTAGCTTAAGGGAGAAATTATTCATTTCATATCCTGTCTGATACTGTACTATTTCCCAGAGAAAAATGCTTAAAACAATTTATGCAGACTGCTGAACAACAATACTGTCAAAAGATGATAATTATATTCTAGTTGTTGAGTCATGAAATAGCCATGAATTATGGGTGCTCTGGTGTCTTCAAGGAAGGAAAGGCATTTCTGTTGAGTGAAGGGCTGAAATTAAATTAGTAAGATTTTGGATGTGGACACCGTTGTTTTTAACTGCAATTTCTCAATTTTAGGTCTTCTATTTGTTTTCTATCTGACATAGAAGGAGCAATCTTGATAATCATAGAGGGCCACAAAAATGAATTATTTTATAAGAATAGTATGTTAATTTTCCACTAATGGCAGTATTATACCTTATATTATTATTATTATTATTATTATTATTATTATTATACAATTGTATCAC